TAGGACTAGCGAAGAGGTAGTTTACTGAAGACTTCTGTCAGCTTCCACTGTGGAGGATCTCACACCGCCCCCCCCTCCGCCCCCCCAGGATTGCAGCATTGTGTTTAGAGCAATCCAAGTTGCCTCTCCACTCAAAGTCTTCCTTCTCGGTGCCCACCTTTCCCCACTCCTGTGTAAGCAGCTGATGGGGAGACAATAGGTTCAGGATTTTGCAAGTTTAGACCACAGTTCTCCTCTCTTGAGAGTGTTCACGTGAAGGACCTTGAAGTAGGACTCTGTTCCCACCTCCATCACTGTCCTTGAGTCGACGCACAGATAAGGATGGATGTAGGTAAAACAGAAGAGTGGACATTTCAGGTGCAAAAACTCAAAATCATTTTGAAAATTCCTGTTGCCCAGGCTGACTGTCTGCTTTGTGACTTTCTACAGACACTTTTGCCACTGCCCCCTACCCACCCCCCACCTTTCCTTCCATTGCCGTAGATGGTGATGGCAGCAGCAGCAGCAGCATAAGCCATCGTGTCTCATGAGTGGTGGTGGAGGGCGTGGAAAGAACTGTAGAAAATCAAGATGCTATATAATTAAGATTTATCAAGGTTCCAATCATTGGTGCTCAGAATTTGTTTGGCATATTCAGAAAACAGGTATTTCAAGATCTGCATGTTTTCCAGGGATTGCCTGGTCGACTTCATATTCTGTTGTTGTTGTTGATGATGATGTTGTTAGGGGCCATCCAGTTGGTCCTGACTCATAGCCACCCTACATACACACAACGAAGCAGTGCCCGGGGTGGTATGCTAGAACCCACTGTGGCTGCCACTGTGTCAGTCCGTCTCATCGGGACCTTCCTCTTTTTCGCTGCCCTTCCACTTGACCAAGCATGACATCCTTCTTCATGTTCTTCACAGTCTAAGTCAGATTTATCAATAATGTACTTGCCACAGATAGGCCTAAAAGCATTTTCACTGTAGATATTTTGCAAAACTTGTTCTGGGGCTATGCCAGAGAGTTTGGGACCTTCAGGTTGTCAGTGGTGAATGGGAAGCAAGGGACCATTTCCCTATGTACTAAACCCCTGGGTCAGTTCAGGATATGCGTTGAGAGGCCATAGCACGCAAGAGCACACACCTGCCCCTAAATGCCGGTGACTTTTGTCGCTCCTGTAGGAGCCCTGGTAGCCCAGGGAGTTCATCTGTGGGCTGCTGATGGCAGAGTTGGGTGCTTGACCCCCACCAGCTGTCAAGTTGATTCCAACTCATACGGATGCTGTGGGACCGGGTGGAACTGATCCATAGGGGTTCCGAAGCTGTACAGGAGTTGACAGACTCCTCTTTCTCCCAAGGAGCAGCTGGTGGCTCCCAACGGGCCGGCCTGTGGTTGGCAGTCCAATGCTTAGCCCACTGTGCCACCAGGGATCCTTTCCTTGGAAAGGGAATGCCATCTAAAGGGGCCCTCTACTTCCCGCTGATGCAAAGCTGTCTGGCTTTAAGCCCATGGAAAAATAAGCATGGAGCTACTGAGGGTCTGTGCACAGGTCTGTGTTGAACGGTTTTCATGCCTTATTTTCAGCGTTCTCTTAAGTTAATTGAAGTGTGCTTAGCAAAGCTTCAGAAGACCGAAGTAGAAATCTACAAGCTATGGAATAAGATGCTCCTTTAAATGTATGATGTTATCCTACCAGTGACAGCAAATAAACTGCTTCCGCTTTTTTATTCCTTTTTAGCTGCTACAGTTGAAGGTGGCTTCGGAGAATTCATACAGCTCTAAGAAAGCCAAGCCGTTCCTATCGCTATGGACTCTTGGGCTATCAAAGATAGAGCAAAATGTTTCTCCTACATTTTTATTCTTACTAATACATCTTAAAGGTACATCTTTTCTAGTCTCTTGATACACCCCCGTGGTGCTAATCAAATAATGTGAATAGATCAAAATGAATCAAAATAAATTATTTTTCTCCCTCTGTAGGGCATAACGACTTAAAACACTGACATCCACTCCCTTTGTAGAAAGGACGGTCTTTTTCTTGCCCTTAAAAGGGCCTAGCCCTTTAGGAACTTCTTCCATGGGAACCAGTCCATAGACAACCACACACAAGATCCATGAAATGCAGCGAATGGAAACAAACCCCAAAGCACAAAAACCTTTTGAGGATACATACTTATCCCAAGACTAAATATAGCTAAAGAAGTTATCTTTGCTGTCTAAGTCGATTTTTTTTCTCATTGTGGGTGCATTTCCACGTAACTTTGCCACAGAAATGTGTGAAAACAAGAAAAGCATGTCCTTCAACCCACCCTGCTCCCTTGAGAAACACGCACGGCAAGATCGCGTCCTAACAAGGCACCGATTGGGGAGCAGATTTTTCTTGCCAGCTAGATCAGGATTCCTCTAAGCTGCATCACCGAGTAGCTGGTGACAGCTGGAGATGGAGAAGTGGTGACTAATAATGAGGCAGCATCCTTTAAAGGCTTCCTGGAAATAAGGCCAGCAACTCTGCCAGGCTGTCCATGGGGGAAGGAAAAGCTGCATTTTAATGACTCTTCCTAAGCTATGTAGTTTGAGGAATTCTACAATTTGGCAGGGTTATTAAAAATGGCAACTACAAACTAACACAACTCTATCTTTTCCTAAATGCAAACAAGTCCACATGTCAACCCCAGACAACCCCTGAACGACAGTGTGGTCAAGTGTGCCCATCCCTGCTTTAACAGGCTTTGGGGCAGAACTTCCCGGGGTTGCCCTGACTCCCACCCCAAGTGGGTGTGGGCTGTGTTTGCACAGAGAGACCCTGGAAACCGAGAGACATCACCCAGCGCCCAGCCGGCACTCCCCT